AGGGTTAAAGCAATGCTCAAATACGATGTATGGACAAAGAAAAATTATTACGTGCAACGATCGCACATTTGAACGAAAATCCAGATGTACCACCACGCAAGACACAATATCTTAGTACAAGCTTATCGATGGATGTAAGAGAATAGATCAGTAGATAAAATACATACTAGAAGATAATATCTATAAAAATGAAAAATGTTAAGATAATAGCTACTATAGTTTTCTACTACAAATGTTTAACACATGATAAAATATATACATGAAAATATCAACAAACTTTACATATTTTATCAAAACCATAACTAAAAATAATATATATAGCTACATCCTCATAAATTTTAGCCACACATTCATACAAGAATAACCATAGACATATGACCAAATTTTCTCTAAGTAGTAAGAATATTGTTAAATAGTCCCTCTTAATCACAAATACTTTAGTAAAATAAATTGATAGACACTCTCCCTTAGAAATAATACCGTTGGAAAATCATCTTCAAACACTTTCAAACGCACTTTTTTAAAATCTGAGATAATTATTGCCATCTTCATGTTTGGTCAAATTATATTACAAATATATAACTTAACAAATTCTTAAATATTTGCAAACTGATCCTCTCTTTTGGAAAATTTACATATTTACCACACAATTCTTATGTATTGACATATCTACGCACTCCTAATTAAAGCTTGGCATTTATATTTAAAAAACTTTGTATATGTAAATATTGAAAGTTTATGTAAATATATATGATCATAATGTGGAAAAATTATTCCATACAGACGGCGTATGCAGAGATGCATGCGTCATTCTGTCTCCACCGTTGATCAGAGCTTTCATTCATTTTTTTTGAAAAAAAAAATAGGCCCACCGAAATATAACTTTGGCCTGATCAACAGTGGAGATCGGACGGTGCATGCATCTTTGCATACGCCGCCCGTATGGAATAATTTTTCTCATAACGTGACACTTATGTAATTTCTTCCTTTTCACAGTATATCAAATGAAGTATACCAACTATTTAATTTATTTATTTATTTTAACTATTATTTTCAGCATTAATTAAATTTTATTTTCATTTAAGGTTAATTAGGTGGTTTTATAATTCTAATCTTGTATGGGGCAGTACACCTAATTGCTAGTCCTAATCCTACCAAAGAGATTCCTTATTACCTACCAATACTGACCCAATAACTACCCATAAAATATTCACTAATATTATATTTTTTTATAATTATTTTATGGATTAATATGCTAATTAGATACTCACATCAATTAATCCACTATTAAACCAAATAATTAGTTAAATACAATGATTATATTAGAAAAAGAAAATTAACTTAGAATATTTTTTTATTAGATTGGTCAAAATAATGTTGAATTTGCATTGAAAATTTCAACATTAATAGACTATTATTTAATTTCATTAACATAAACTAGACCATACATTTGGCCTTAATTGGGTTGGAGAAATGTCAATATGTTTTGATTATTTCCATCCTACTATCATTAATGCACTATTTTTTTACTATAACTAGTCTTAATTGGTACGGGATGGAAGAAAAATGTGGAACATAGATGTATAAGTAAGACAAATGACATCCATCAACTCTTCTTCCTCTTCCTCTTATTTTATTAGCTATAGTTTCATCATCATACATCTCTTTCATATAAATGCCATTTAATTATATTATTTTTAAAAAATAATATGCATATTTATGCATCAATGTTTTATTAAGGGTCTCACAGTTGCTGCTACGAAAAATTATTATGAGCCTGAATACATTAAGACATTGTATACAATAATGATGTTCTGCAGTGTTATACAATAATATAGTACGTGAAGTCTGAATGCATCCAGAGTCTGCATCTAATATTCTCTTTTGCTTCTAGAGGCGTCCTATTCCGTTATTTGAAACTCATGCATTATAAATAACCTATTGTCTCCTTAGTCTCCTCATCTATAAGACATCTCCAATCGATATAGTCACCAAGAAATCAAATGAGTCTTTCATTGTTCTTTCCTCCTCCTCCTCTTCTTCTTCTTCTTCTTCTTCATCTCTCTTTTATTCTTCTTCTTCTTTCTTCTTCCGTCTGCTTCGGACAAGCCGGCAATGGCGGAGCAAAGCTTAACGTTAAGTTCTATGAACAATCATGTCCAAAGGTTGAAGAAATAGTTCGGAAAGGCATGGCCGAAGCTGTGTCTCAGAATCCAAGATGGGCTGCTTCAATCCTCAGGCTCCATTTTCATGACTGCTTCGTGAAGGTCACCTCTGCATGCATGATAGTTATTATAATATATATATGT